AACGGAACCTAGCCCAGGTGTCAATAGAAATCGACTGGGCCACGCTCAGCAAGCCGCCGTTGCGAAGGATGCGATTCTTCTTGGCTATCCCAGATGTGCATAGCATACTGAGCGATTACACCGGCACCACTGGAAGGTGAAGAATCCGACTTTGCCGGCCATCTAATGGATGATGATGATGATGATAATTTTATCGTGACCGGGTACTGACCCAGCACCTAGGGGGCATGGCACGGGTAGTCTAGATCTATATAAGACTCTTCGCTACCTACATGATTGGTTCATAGGAACCAGAAATACAGAAACGTAAAAAAAAAAAAGGAAACAACATTTCTGAGGTGCTAGCGCCCTGCACTACACCTCCATCCTCGCGTCACACTGAGCGGCCCTAAGGAGCAATACAGCTGATATTCAAGTTCCCTGTTTATGATTCAATTTTGCTGTAACATTTTGTTACAGTTAGAAAGCGCCAGAATATCTGCCATTCTTCTTGCCCTATCATATCCCTTGTCGTAGGTCGTGGTTCCTTCGTTTCCGTCCTCCATTTCTGGATGGTCGGGCGACACTCTGCAAAATGCCATGGCCGTTTCTCTCGTCCGCATTTGCATCGCATTTCTTCATTCGGATGTTGAAATCGTCTGTGATAGCTAGCGAAATCACCATGCCCAGTCCTTGCCGCAATGAGGCGGACATCTAATGGATGATGTGAAGTATGATATTATTTTGGATAGATTAATTATCTAATCTCGGCAGGTGAAGAGATTATAGAGTACATGCACGGCGTCTGTGCAACAGCCTATATTTTCCACCCTGTCCTAATGCAGTAGCTCATCCTCCGTTCCCAGCCGCCATAACTTTGCAGTGGTACTTGGAAATGAAATCTGAGGCAAGAGTGCTCTTCCTTTAAGTTGAATCATCTATTCTGTACTTTTCTTTGATATTGTGTCATAGCTAGATAGCTGCATACGCAATTAAAATCTGATGCAAAAAAAAATCCTCCGTTCCCCTGTCTCCTAACAACTCAACCGAGCCAGCACACCACCTCTCCCTTCCGCAAGTTCTTGTCCATTCGGCGATATCTTTAATCTTGTTCAAGGCATGCGAAGTTTCTCTCCCGTTTGCGGGCAGCTTTATCTTCCTACATGTCGATCTTATTGTTAGTTGAACGGGGAGTTTAGCTGATAGTCCGGCGTGCTGGACCCTCTTTTGTTTCAGGTATATCTCTATAGGGAGGACGGACGATTTGTGCTCTGACACTCTGCTACTAGCAGGATTGTAAGTACCTGCAAAAAGCTCTAAGCATTTTCTTTGAATGCTTCTGAGTGGTTTCGCTATCCTTTCGGGTATCCTTCCTGTTGGCCCGGTCAATAGCCCGATTTTTAAAATCTACCTAATCATCAAAATTGTTACATAGCCGAAAGGACACTATGTCTGCAGACAAAGATCACAGCAGCGTCTAGTAAGTAGTCCATCTTGTCTCTTGTCCTCCTTCGCTTTCTTGCTATGTTACACTACTACCTCAACTTTACCTGGAAATCAAATCTATTCTACCCATCAGTAATCCCGATGCTGTAAGCTTCAAACTAAATTATTTATAAATTAATTGAAGCCTCAAATGACCTGCTTCGACCTTTCTTGATTCTCTCCTCTCCTTGGCTCAGCCTGGCAAAACTATTATTATGTAGTTGATAACTCGGGACTGAAAGATAATTTACTTTCTCAGTTTATCCTCCTCAGGATCTTTTCATTAGTACAAATTAAATATTATTTCGAAAATATTTGCTCCAAGTCTGGCTACATTAATTTTGAGTTTTATCAGATTTATATGGAGTTTATAATTCATCACTATTCTATCGGTGTATACACCAGTAGATATATTTGATGCTCTCTGTTTACCATCATTACTAATATTTCTCATGAGTTTCAAGAGCTTAACTTAAAAGCTTTGTGTAATTCATCACTCAACCCTAGATATCTCCAATGAGATGACTTATTGAAGGCTACAGCGCATGTCTACGAGATGGTTAATGTTAACATTGATCATCCTTACAACTCTCTGAAAGTTGTGGTGAACACTAGCATTTGGAAATCAATGCAGTTTGATCGTAATAGAAATCCAATAAACTTCATGTGTGATAGGAACAATTTTAATTTGTTCGTTAATCAAGTTTTGCCGTCTGAAAATACGAAATCACATACGATATATATCCATCTTTTATTCAAAAAAGAAAATTATATTAGCTGAAGGAATAAGACGAATTTCTACTGTTGATATAAATATTATAGGCCTTCTCTGACAATGTTAGTTATATATTAGTCAGCACTCATCGCGAATATTTGTAACTTTTGCAGCATAGAAGAATAGACAAGATCGACAAACAGAACCGCAGTAACGTGACAGACAGTTTACGTTATTGGCACCGTATTTAAGCATTCCGACACCAACTGCTTTCATGAGGAGACATCACTGCAGATCATTGGAACCGAAAGTGGTTAAGTGTTTGTAAGTAATACACAAAAACCCCCTCTACCCTCTAATAGTAGCTAAAATTTCAGAAAGTAGCAATGGGTTCCTCAAATACTGAGGGAGGAAAACTTTCATCATTTAGTGGAAGACTTTAAACTTTATCAGTCGTGATGGGGGGGATATTTCTGAAACAGGCTTTAAGCGGAAGGTCGAAGGGGAGAGATCAAGGAGCAGTTTTTCAGCATATCCTCAACACTCAGACTTACATGGTGAGATCTGATAATGTGCTGAAATGAGCCTATCTTGTTGAGGTCAGGGTCTGAGTTATGAATAGACCCTATTACAGTCTGAATTTGATCGTGATAGATAGTTTAGTTGTACATCAGGAAGCTGGAGCTAACACGGCAGATCTTTTGCTTCTCAATATTTTGATATTTTTATCCTACTGACTTTATATATCATACTTTTCGCTATCTCACATCTCGACATGTTATATCGTCCGTTTCTCTCCGTAAGGTCTCCACCTCTTGGCATCTCGCCATTTTAATCCCTTATACACTGCTCTATCATTATAATTTCATTTTATTGTACTATCTGAGTCTATGACTATGTAGGACATGCAGATCCTTTCTACCCACAAGCCAAGCATATCTATCGAGTATTATCTCCCCTCCTTTACCTCCTATACAGTACCAACCCTCATGAGCCCTCATTCGATCATACACTAAGAGGAGCCCTTTGCCCTTCATTATCTCCCCTCTCCATCCAACGAAACGATGGCCATTTACGGGTGTACGACAGCTGGAAAAAATCGCAAAAACCACTGAGTGTGAGCTCTTCTAATGGCGACATCAGGTCTAAATACGAAGACATAGTGATCCTTCTGAAGCATTCGAAGAGGCCGGCCAGCCGGGCGCTGCAGACTTGTGGTTACCTAGGGAAATTCACCTTCTACCTCCCTAGCCTCCTTCCAACTCTTTCCCGAAGGTTGTGCTGAAACTTCAGAAAAGTCTTGACAGAGCGTAATTGCTGTATAGTAGCTTAGCCCAGCTTCTTTTGTGCCGTCCAGGGCGCTGGGGAGTGCCGTTGACTCATCGACAAAAGAAGCCCTCCTGGCTAATTTGCCCAAATCTCAACCCTGGCACCCACAAACGTTCCAAAGTCGAAAACCTCTCGAAGACATCAGTCCAAGAATAGTCTTCAGATACCTCTTCCCCCTAGCTCCACATCTCAGCCGCCTATCCTCCCTCAAACTGTTTGTCTCATCAGAGCAACACTCCCCCATGGACAAAGACCCCAAATTTGTAGATTATGACTTAATTTCCACCTTGCAGGTATAGGTAGCGTCGTAAATTTGTAGTGAGTGATGGTCGGTAACGAATGAGGCAAGCTCCTGTCTGCAATTGGAGTAACGTCTTTATAGCTCGTTGAGGCGAGGTGGTGTGTGAAGACGATATCGTAGAGACCTCATGTGAGAATGACAAGACCGACATTGATGAGAAGTCGCCGATTATAGATATGGCTGTGTTTGCTTTCGACATCGATTCATTTGCGATTCTTCTTGGCTACCCCAGATATGCAAAGCATACTGAGCGATTGCACTGGCACCACTGGAAGGTGAAGAATTTGTCTTTGCTGGCAAATGCTATGAAGACTTTACTTGAGAGACCAATCCTAACAACGTACCACTGAACTCTACAATCATGGCAGTGTTTACATTACCGTACAAACTCCAGCAAACAAAGTCGTATTCTGTTTATTGAGCTACTTGAGTCAATGGATGTCTAGGTCGAAGTTGTGTATGGCACAATGCTCAATGTGAAAAACTCTCTTCCAAAAATCGTTATCACACACCTTCCCCGATTTTACTAATGACTTGTATCATATTGCATTTCAGCTCTGGTATCTCTCAATTACATCCCAAATATCTGTCTCCTATGTGTATGCGCCACTATTTGTCTCCTCCTTCAGGTATTTATACTCTTGTGGGCATTTATTTCGTGGGTGGCGGAGGCCAAAGAATAATCGATGAGAGGTTTGATCAAAAAAAGGGAAAGTGGTAGCTCGTTTGTATATACTGAATTATGCTTAGATGTGAATAGATCTCGAGTGTGTGATTGATCTGGTGGCGTACCTAGGATCATTGCTTCGTGGGCCGACTTCTTCGGAGTTGCAGAATGTGAATAAACCCGGCTTTGGGACAAAATTTCACACCCAGGCTTTCAGAGGACACTGCGAGATATGCGATGGAATCTAACTGGATTTGAACCAGCATCATCTCATCGTTTTGGCGATAAGAGTTAAATTCCCAATATTCTACCTATCTGATTAGACATCATATTGAAATCAATGCGCCACCCCCCATGGCCGGTTCTTTAAGCTCAGAGCTACCCACCAGTCTACCGACCTAATATTGAGGTGACCCAAAATTTCAAATTTGAGCCAGTGGCAGCGCATGTTATAGACTGTGGTAGTTGATACTAGCAACGTACCACTGTCTTAAATACCAGAGATTCCAAGCTTTCTCACAAAAATGTCTACAGAGCCATCAGTTGATGACATCTTGAATTCCATTGCGGAATCCTTGCCACCTAACTTCTTCAAACCTCCTACGAAGAAACAAAAATTTGATGATTCCATCGGCGTGTCAACTGAAGGAATAGATGAGTTCGGAATAAATCGTAATCCGGATAATGTCCCAGAGAGTGTATGTGAACAAAAGCTACATACTGCAGCCCTGGCAGGATCTGCCTTCACTCCACACCACCTGAATGAGATAAATGCACGCAAAGAGACTCTTCAGTTTGAGCCAGTCTCACTCGTCCCAACAATGTATAATTCCCGGGGTTTAGAAGAGAATCAACTGACAAATTACAGTCCAAGTGAAGCCCAATCTAATCCAGTCGTCAAGTCAGAATCTGATGCTATGGAGATGCAAAGACGCATAAACGCCCTCCTCTCGAGTATTGGATGTCAAGTTCAACCATGCAATGATAGTCTTGCCAGAACTTACCCTGATTCCGGGCTTACATCAGAGGGCACTCATACAGCGGTTGGGATTGATGTAGGCGGAAGTTGGGGCTCGCAAAATCCAAATACAACTTCAGAGTATGGGCATCAAAAAGGTTTTAAGCACCGTGGGCGATCAAAAACTCATAACCAGGATTGGTTTGTTGATTACTATGATCCAAGCTTCAACCAAAATCCATGGGAGAAGCTTGAAAGGCAATACGGTATGTAGCTATTATGATCCTTTATGTAGTGACAAATTGCTACAAAGTAGCCTAACTATAATATATTTATGCGGCTTGAAACTAAAGGACAAGTCGATACGAGAACTAATGAATCCACCTCCCAATGTAAAGCGGCAGGCCACACACATTATGAGTCTGATATTTTGGACTAAAATAAGGTGAAACAGAGTCTATCAAAGGCATGCCAGCAAAAAAATTTAGTGGAACCTCTAGCATCAATCTGATCTAAAATATTTCCCCAAACTAGGTTAGAACGTAAGATTCAAAAGTTTACCATAGACTGAGACCTGCGACTCTGATCTCATATCTTAATCAGGGTCAGTTTAAGTTCGATGCTCATTCTGCTAGAAAAAAATGTCTAGAAGCTGGGCCGTCCTGGTTGGATTTGCATCAGCTGCACTGAATTGAGGCGTATAATTGTCCATAGTTTATGGAATGCGAACTTCCCTAAAATCTTATTTTCAACACCTATGAATCAGTATCATTTCCCTTTGTCTTGTATAATAAATTTTGAAGTAAACAGTATCGTACCAACATATTGTAACTAATCTTTTTCTAGTAGATTCTAGAAGTCCTCCATAGTTATTGACTCAGCTAAGACTAATAGAAATCTTATCTAATCAATCGGTACCGTTGGTAGTCATATTCAGCAGCTCATGCTGGCCAAGGCTTATGTGACTGGCCTTACACTTTAGTCCTGACGTCTTTCAAAACTTCGATGACTGAATAGAACAGAGTTTGATTAATTCTCTATCGAGTTTTTGACTATGAAGGAGTGTTAATTTTTTCCAATAATTTAGCTAGAGAACATTGCTTTTGCTAGTAAACTCCTATAAGAATCACTTCACTTTAATCAGATTTATAATATTAAATCTAGCTCAGCGTTATTTCTTTCATTGAATCATACTGTTTTCAGCTCTACAGCTATGACAATGCTCATCGTTATGCCACAGTCTCTGCATGTATCAAAAACTCTTGGTCGTCGCTTGTTTCCCCAGACGTGGCGCGTTCCCGGACAATTCGCCGTAGCCAGTCTTCCTGGGAAGGTCTAGCTACTAAATCAGTTGTAGCTAGTGTCTATATCAATGCGGACTATGCATGAGCTCGATTTGGCAAAAATTTGATAAAAGAACCTATCATATGATCGACGGAGGTGATTTGAGATTTTATGATTTGAGAAATAGGTTCAAATTATTACGATTTAATAACTACATTTAACTCTAAAACATGCGAGATTATTCAGATGACTTGATATTCCAAAGCGACCAAACCGCTCACGTACACGTTTAGGTGTAGGTAATGAAACTCCAAAGCCTTATTCTCCCTCCCTCAAAATATAAATGTATGCGTGTGTGGTGGAGGGACTGACTGAAGCTTCTCCCTTGACCAAGCGAGTAGCAAGCGGGCATTTGTAATCAGGATTCTATCATTCTGGAACCTCATTGATTTACAAGTCTAGATTATACATCCCAAGAAAATATAGCTGTGGTTCGAGCACGACCCTACTCAAATACTCTATAATTTGTTTGTTTTTCTAGGTGCTAGGCAATTGATACCCCTCACACTCCTTCGGGAGCTTGAGTACGAGTAAGGCCGGGTTAGGTCAGATTATCCATCATTGAGTACATCTTATTCGTCTCACTTGGACGACCAGACTTCACAAATATTCTGAATTAAGTCAAACTCGAACACTCAGAGAGCCTGACTTTGAAGCGATGGAGCACGAATTCCATTCGGCACTCAGCAACCACGCAACCTAGCCCTTGAAGCCTTCCCAATCTCTACCGTTTTCAGCCTATGAGGTCTCAGTCATACTTCGTCTTGGAATATTCCAATCTCGACCAGGGATAGTTCTCTTTAATGGAAGTCTTGTTCAGTCGTCCACTTAGGCCTTCTCATTTTTTTTCTTTTATTCCTAATTTGTGGCCTCTCCTTAATCCTTGTGCTAAAATCGCAAAATCGGAAACTTTTAGAACTGTCCACCCCTCTAGTCTTAACCCGTCGCTACCATACCCCTTACTGTGAAGGCAGAATATATGGTTAAAAGCTCAAGACCAAGTAGTGCGTTTTTGATCGACAGTAACTCGACTCGACTGGTCTTGAAGACAGGTTCTTATCAAGCTTGTGCATCTCATCGGTGAGGGTTTAGTCATCTCCAGGTTATCTAGTTGCCATTAGTTGCTATGTTTGATCATTAACGTACTAGGTACATGACACCCACCCTCTAACTAAAGCTTAAACACGAGCAGGGCCAAGCCGGATTAAGTTTGCCACCGTAGAAGTTCGACTACAGTGCTAACTCGTTATAAAGATATGATTCTGTAAGACTATTTTCTTTGGTTTAAAGTGATATAGTTCTATCACATAGATTAAGTAAACCAGCTATCTAATGTCACTTGCCTCCTTTTCTGCTCTGGCCACTGCTGGAGATTTCTTTCTATGCGCACGAGTATTATGAGCTCCATGGAGTTGGCATCTGACTCCTACTACTTGGAGCTAAGCAGGTGCATGAGGCCATTAAATGCTTGATAAATCGTGGTAGGCGGCTAAGCTACCTCCTTATCCTCATCTTCCCCGTGCTATCCCTACTGTGGCAACATTTGTGCTGCAATAATTTACCTAAGCGTGATCTCCTCCTCCGCCTCAGTATTCTTATCGTCTGGGTCGAGAAAATTTGACAGGCTCTTAGCATTATAGATCCATCTTGTTACAGCTGCGAGTACCAACTCAATAGCAGCAGGGGTTCAACTGGTATAGTGATCTGTGGTTAGATAACAATTGACTTCCGAAAACAGGCATATATTGTGTTGTTTGAAACCTCGAGTCTCCATACCCACACTGACAAACTAATAGCTTCATACACACTCATTTTTGCAAAAGGATTGACGTCTTGATCGAAGCACTTCAGCCGGTAGCCTAGCCAGTATTTGCGATAGTATTGTTTATAGCTCTGAATGATGCCCTAGTCAAGTGTTGTTGTTGTATTTTTAAAGTCCTGAGCTAAACTAAAAAGCTCTACATCCTACTATTGGTACAGGACCGGTGGAGCCGGTAAGGATCACTGTGTACAGGCCCAACTCATTCCAACCGCGTGAACTTCCACGTAAATTGTGGTGTTAACAGCAAAACCAAAATCAAAAACTTAAATCAGAAACTAAAATCAAAAACAAAAATAAATTTAGAAGAAATCCCAATTAGGTTCGGATCCCGCGCTTCTCACCCGTTACATTTCCTGTCAGATCTTCCAAGTGACACTTTCTGACCTTCGCTGAGAGCAGAAGATGAGCTCGCAGGCACCCCTTTTCCATCTGGTGTCCTACTGTTAGTGTGTTGAAACCTCGACGACTTCAATGAGACTGGCCGTAACCTTAAACCTCCTCTTCGGATCCCAGAATCCCAAAACCCGATCCGTCTGACAAATAGACGTCGTTCTTCGCGCCATGAATCGCCTGAATGGCTATTTCGGCTCCAGCTCTGATGCGAGTAAAATCTGCGTGATTTTTCTGCTCGGCCTGGCGAATCATCACAAGCTGCTATTTTTTCACCGGGCCGAACTTGCTGGGTCTGGCTTTGTAGTACCGTGAGTCCGATCGATGAGGTCCCCCACAGTTTTGACACCGTGTGGGGGCTTTGCACTCCGTTTCAGAATGCATTTTTGATCCGCAGTTCCAGCGAGCCGGAGCGCGGAAGCAACCGCGTGAGGTATGGAAGCTAAGACATCGATTGCACTGAACTATTTTTCGACGAGGTTAGAAGAGCTTTGCAGCTCTGGGGTCATCGAAGAGACGAAATCCAGGTCGGGACGTGGATTCGCGAGGGAAGAGCGCTTGCCAGTTCTGGTATGGCGCCCCAGGTTTGCTGGTCCCATGAGGACGAGCAAGAGAAGGAACCGATTTGGTCACTCGCGTGACTTCGTCGGCGATCATCTTTTCCTTAATAAAAACGGAACCTGTGAGTGTATTAATTCTCAGCGGGACGGTGGCAATTAGTAGGGCAACCAGATTTGACGCTGGTTCCAATTTAATTTCTGATTCCCTTCGTTCTACGGAAGAATCAAGGAGCTCTTTCAGAGCGAGTTCATCCTTTGCTGTTAGAGCAAAGCCTGTTTTGACCCGCTGAACCAACGTGATGTTGTTAGCCGCGGTACCGAGTGCCTCTGAGACAGCTGATCTTACGCCAGCTGGTGCAAGGAGTCGGTGGGGGTGGTCGTAATTGTTCGGATTAGGTCCTGGTCAACAATGTCTAGCCTAATTGTGCTATGTTGCAGGCTACTGTTCCAATTATTCATGGGGTCATCACTAGGGCTGTGAGTAGTTTCGGTTTTGGTGTGGGTTGTTAGATTGATACCTAAGCGTGTCGCATAGTAGTCAGACATGCGACTCGAGTAGCATATGCACGGTAAACCTCAACCCCAAAATGATGATACGAATCAGGCTTTATATGCTACGTCCTGTATGGCTAGCGTGGTTGGAATATGGGGAATTTACCTGTAAATAGATAAAGACGTTGTAGCCCTCTGATAGTTGGGACAAGTCTTCTACAATATTATATCGGAATCAAATCTAGCCTCTCATTAAGCAATCTAATGAATTATTTCCAATGTCTGTGATAACAGACATACATATAAAATATCGACAACAAGTTTTAATGTCGATAAATAATCGAGGCGTAGAAACAGTCGCGTATCGAACGCTGTCCTCGTATTGGCTCCATTTGCTTTTGGAGCAGGCGGGGCTGTTTTTTTTGTTGATGGCACAATGCTGTGGCCAAAGCCTGCTCGGGCTACATTCGCGCAAGTTGTCTTTTGGGCCGGAGCCTGGGTTGTCGAAGGGTTAGGTACCCTGATTTCATGAGCCCTCGGCGGACTCTCGCGTTGTCCAACATTGAGTTGTGGAGCTTTTTTCGAACAGGTGGCATGATGAAAATGCCAGTGACTCGATTAAAATTTATTGAAGGAATGCGACGAGCGCCAGAGGGACGGAGAGGG